TTTCCTCAGACTGGTCTCATCCCTCTACAACTAGCTGAGATGTAAATAAATGAATGCATAACAATCAATTGTTGTCTGAAGGTCTGAAGCCTATGGGCCTGCTACCCCTAGTTCAAACAAAGAACCACCTTGATACAACAACAGATCATTCCCATAGTGAAAGAGAAAGAGACTTACTGAGTGGTAAAGTTTGTTCTTATAGTGTCAAGTGATGATGGATGTTTTGAAAACAGCTTGTCAAGGGCAAGGGCATAAGCCCASACAGCATCATAAGCAAAGCTTGCATAAAGTGATGTTGGATGGCCCTAAAATGAAAAAAACATCCATATAATGCAAGTACAATGACAATAAGCAATAAGGATAACTGGAAGAAAATACTGCAGGGTAAAATTTGCTGAGCAGACAAAGATTTAGTAAGAATAGTGTTTTATGTGGATACTGTAGGTAAATGGTAACCTTAAAACACAATAATGATACCCAAACTACACCCTCAATGCAATATTTTCCGATATTCTCCCAGAACACTTTCTCACCTTAGCTGCGACTTGCTTCTTGTACACTTCTTTCCATTCCTCAACGGTGTAACCACCAACTACATTAGTATTTCCATRTGCAAAGAATGAATTGTCCAATGAAAAGTAACCCTTGCTTATAAATGCCAGCATTTCATTGTCTGTGCATCCAGTTGATGCTTTGAAGTGGTTYCCATGGGGACCAGTCTTGGTAGAATTGCTGAAATACCAGCCAGGCTGTAACCAGGATGGGAAGAACCATACATAATGATTGTCAGGGGTCATACCCTAGAAACAAGCATCAAAATATATTATTAGTAATAATAGCAGAAGTGATTATACTAATATAATTGTTGTCTTCAGGGCTCCCTGTGCTATCTTGAAATGTAACCTTGCCTTTGCATCAAAGTGAGACAATAATCTCCTTACGTTTCCCTGCACCACCTTGAAARGTAGTTGTCCCTTTGCATCGAAGCAAGACAACCACTACAGAGCATGCAATAGCCGACTTGCAAATTTTGCCTCAGTAGTCATGCACAAAGGAATCAAGATGAGGCGCCGTGCATACAGCTCAGTCATTCATGAAAAAACAATAATAGTTTGTCACAATTGACTGAGCTTTATGCATGGCGCCTCGTCTTGATTCTTTTGTGTTTGTCTGCTGAGGCGAAATTCGCAAATCGCCTATTATAGATACCTGTCTGTTGGTGTGAAAGAGTGTCTCTTTCATTGCACACCCAACAGTCGTCTTGCTTCAATGCAAAGTGATTGCTACCTTTCAAGATAGTGCAGTGAACTGTAATGGAGACAATTAGTGTGAGTACAATGATTGACATATGTCCATGGGTTGCGAACAAAGATTTCTATCATTGCAAGGTCAACATTCTTCTCACCTATGCAAAGTCACGGTTACATTTCAAGATGTTGGAGGGAAC